GCAGCGAACGCCACACCATCCGTTCTATCATCGCGTGAGCGGATAATAGTGCGGTGGCGCTCTTCCTGTGTGATGATGTAGAATGCCCAGTCTAAATCAGGAATTGGCTCACTACCAATAATTTGTGAACGAGCATGCCCGTACTGTTCATCATCGAGACCCAACAAAAAATCCATCGTCTTCTCACGTTCTATACGAGCCCGTGCAATTTCGGCAGCGGGACACACACAACCTCCAGTTGGGTCTTCACTTCCATTTAGTTGATTCCAAAGAGTTATAAACTGATTGTAGTAAGCGACCACACTCTGGCCCTTTTGACGTAACCCATGCAACTCGCACTTCAATTGATACATACGAGGACCATTGGAGCCACCATAGCGTTTCTTAAGATCATTCCACAAGTCAAACGCGAGAGTATGATTGATTATGCTCCGTTGTATGGACTCATCCACGCTGTTACAAATCCAACTACAAATAATGGAGTGATTAGACTCCCACGCGACAAGCTCGGCCTCATCTTTGGGTTTAGGCACTCCCGTAGATGTTAAGAACTGTGCTTTACCACGGCCACCAAGAGCATGACAAATAGCTTTCTCCCAAACATCATAGTTATCACTACGAAGCACATATTTTGTTAATGAATTACCCGGACCTTCAGACGGATGCAAATAATAGATTGTAGACGGATCATGTATCAAGTTTGCCTTCTTAGACGCCATGACGAACGACTTCAATCGATTGCTGCACTATTGGCACTGGACAGTGCACCACGACGGCAACTGGACTGGACAGACGAGGACGACGGCCGGACTGGACGGAGTAACTTGGCCGGATTCACTGGTCGGACGATGGACGAACGACGCCGAAGACGGAACCCTAGACGTTGACGACGAAAACCCTAGGCGCAGAGACGAAACCCTAGGAACTTACGCTCCGATACCATGTAGAACTTTTGGAAAAATACTTTCTTGGTTGATTAGTTACCCCAATGAGGTATATATACAAGATACATAAGTACAAGCCCAACGGGCCAACTAACTACAATATAAACCAATACTGCACAAGAATACCCAATAGTTATTAACAACTTATGTCACTATATTCATGTCAAAGAGAAGATATAGATACTCCCCTCATCTCCAAAAGATCTTTACATTTGACTTTTTCATGGTCACCAATGTGACACTTTGACCATTCATAACTATGATAGTACATACATAAATGTTATAAAAAAAATTGATATATCAAAACTACATCATAAAATGAACCCATTAAATAAAGATTAAACACACATACATGTTTCACATTCTATGGTCAAAGTTTGTAAATTTTGACCAAAAAAGTCAAATATAAAGATCTTTTTTGGGACAAAGGGAGTATTTCCATTTCATCTTTTCTTTGCTTGATACAAAGAAAGATCTATCAAGAACATAGTAACTTACATCATTCGAAGAGTCCTAGGTATACCCTTAAGAGCTTGTAAATAGTTTGCTTGGTTTTTCTTTAGGCATTGTAGCTGGGAAATGTTGAAAGAAAATATTAGACACGACTTAAAAGATAATCCATATATGCATGGTTTTAAAAGGCATTTCAGACGATGAGGCAGTCTCTCTAAGCCTCGGAGACTTAAGCCTTAGTAGTGATATATGAGGCATACGCCCCACATCAAGTAAGGAATTGTTCATTTTCCAACAAGCCCGAGGAAACCAAACTCTCAGGCAGTCTTTTGACTTTTAATTTCTCTGTTCTTTTTTCCAGCATCTCTCCCTCATCCTTGATTTTAATTTAATTTCTATGAAGTTTTCTTAACTTAAAAGTTTATCTATATTTATAGTTGAAATTTAAATGTATTAGTTTAGTTTTGGTTAAGAAATAACTTTAAATCCAGATATTCTGTTTTTTTCTCCAGTTTTTAAATCCTATACTCCGTATTAAGATTCCCTTTTTCCTAAGATTCCTTCTCCTTTTTTCTTTAACAGCCCCACTTCCACCCTATTTGGAGAAGAAATGGGAGAGAATATGATAAAAAGAAAAAAGGTGGGTTAAAATTGAAAATTAGAAACATAAAAAAATGTAATTCGGCCTAAAGTGACCTGACAGTAATCTGGACACTCAACACTGGCTTCACATACTTTTGTTAAATTTCTTCAAAGTTTAGGTATTTACGAGAGAAAATAAAGTTTAGGTACCAAAATGATATATTGCTCAAAGTTCAGGTACCATAGATGAAATTTACCCCATGATCTTATGACTTGACATGATTGTGGATTATGCATTTTGTTTAACATTGGAGTATTTATTTTAGTATTATTTTTAAAAATTGAATTGATGCTTACGCCTTGGTCTCCCTCGAGGCTTACATCTCAAGGCATTTTGCTCCAACGCATCGAGGCTAGTATTCGCCTTTCAAAACCTTGCATATATGCATTAGTCCATAAGAAACTAGTTTAATTTATGATAATATTAGCTGAGGCAGCTTCCGTTCAACTTATGTTTTCTGCTTATTACTTATTTTTATTAAAAACAGATCAAATCCAATCAGATCAGATCCAATCAGACCAGACCATATCTAAACAAAATTACTATTATTACCATTATTATTAGTATTACTATTACTATTACTATCATGATTATAATTATTATTACTATTGTTGTTATTATTATTACTATTAATATAAAAAATAATATTATTGTTACTATTATTATAAGTTTATTAATATTATTATTACTATTATTATTATATTTATTATTACTATTGTTATGATTACTATTACTATTATAATTACTATTATTATTATTATTATTTCTATTATTATTATTTCTATTATTATTATTACTATTATTATTATTACTATAACTATTATTATTATTACTACTACTATTACTATTACTATTAATATTATGATTATAATTATTATTAATATTGTTATTATTATTACTATTGATATAAATAATATTATTATTGTTACTATTATTATTACTATTATTATAATTACTATTATTATTATACGGAGTATTTATTATTACTATTGTTATGATTACTATTACTATTAAAATTACTATTATTACTATTATTATTACTAAAACTGTTATTATTATTAATATTACTATTATTATTATGACTATAATTATTATCACTGTTGTTATTATAATTATTACTATTATTATTACTACTAATTTTAATATTACTATTATTATTATGATTACTATTATTATTATCATTGTTACTAATATTATTATGATTATTATTATTATTATTTATTTTATAATTGTTATTGTTGTTATTATTAGTATTATTATTATTATAGTTATTATTATTATTACTATTATTATTATTTCTATTATTATTATTGCTTTTATTATCAATATTTCTATTATTATTATTTCTATTATTATTACTACTACTACTATTATTGTTATTATTATTATAACTATTATAATAAAAAAAGTTAAGACCAAATTAGATCAGATCAGATTAGATCAGATCAGGTGAACGGAACGCAAACCAAGATGTGTTTTTTACTTACAATGGCTCGTTCAGCAACCATATGGCGAGGTATCTGCCTTAGAGTACCATCAATATCACCAGTCTCCTTGTAATATTCCCTTACTTTACTGACGACATCCTTCTGTGTTCAAGAGTTAAGTTGAGAAAAATGTATCTCTATTTATAATTATTACAGAGCACAGAACGCTAGCTTAAGGATAACAGAAGGTGCATGATGCAAGGAAATAGGAATGGGGGGAATTCAGTTTTTGAGATTTATGTGAAATCATTTGAGGGGAGATGGGAAATGTTAAAGGATATCCCCTTCTCTTGGATCAAGAATCATGTTTACAGCTGCTTTCCACTCTCCACGCAGTAGAGTAGCTCCAACAAGATGAGTTGGCACTAATCCACTTCCAAATCTCTAAATCCATTTTAACATAATAACTGTGTTAGAAGCAATGAAAAAGAAACAATTATAACATACTTCAAACTTTCAATTGAGTGTCCCAAAGAGTGAAGATTCACTATAATTTATCAAATCCTTTAAATCCTTTGTATCACTTGTCATTGTGCAAAAAAGAATTGGTGAGTTTTCATATATTCCATGCAATAATCCCCAGAGACACTCCTATCATACAGCTTCTTAGGTCAGTTGTTGAGTAGCAGCTTTAGACTTATATTCAGGATGGATTCCTGCTTTAGACTTATATTCAGAATGGATCCAAAGTAAACCCGTATTCTATTGTTGGCCTTACACCGAAAGAGAGTATGAATTCCATTCCACTCCTTCATGGTTGAAGCATAAAGGGCAATGAGAAGACAGGTGAATTCCAATCCTATGAAAATTATGTTGGAAAGGGAAACCCCTATGTAGCAGCCTCCATAAAAATACCATCCAAATAAAAGTATAGCTACCAGTATGTATCTTATGTTGGATGTGTGATACATAGTCTTGAGTTCACAGGAGTTGACATAGATGACGTGGACTGAGTAGGAAATGTCTCTTGCATGTCATGGGATGCCTACGGAGGTTGGGCTGGGTGCAGAGGGTTTGTGGGGAGGGTTAGGGGGGTAGAAAAAATTTCCAGGTCTAACGGAGTATTGTAGGGGCCTCAAATGGGCCTGGCCACCAATGTCAAAAGAACCTAGCTACACAATGTGTTGTAATATATATAGTTCTAAAATTTAACTTCAACTTTTAATGTATTGTAAGTTTAACACTTGGTATTAACTTCACTTGATAAAAAAACAACTAATACTACATAATTAGTACATAGTACTTACAAACCTAAGAAATCACTTAATGAATTATTTTTAAAAAAAATATGCAGTTCAAAATCAGATCAACGATGCTCATGGGTAATTAGAATATGCAGAGTATTACTCCTTCTGTCTCAAATTAAAAGTTCTCGTTTCCTTTTTGAGACGTCCCAAAAATAGTCCTTTTTCCACTTTTGGAAAGGTTTTTGTGGCTCATATTTTTTCTCCTCTCCATTAGTTTCAACCACACAGTTTCACGTTTCCTAAACTCGGTGTTGAACAAAATGTAGACTATTAAATTTGGACGGAGGGAGTACGTAGTTAATAATCAGAAGAAATAAGATCCAGAAAGATCCACTCCATAGGTGACGTGCTAAAAAAACAGTCAAATCCAACTTGATTTGTAACTCGATCAGCAAGATCCTTGGATGGTGACAGCCGTCACTTCCAGTGAGAGCACGACCGGAAGGAGAGGAGCGACACAGCTTTTTCAATTTCCAGGTTCTGAATTAAAGTCGTTACTGTGTGAGTTGAGTGTTCATGTTCTATTCTTTTTTAGAATTTTTTTACTAACACTTTCATCGTTTTGGCAACCGATGAGACACCAAGGCGACCCTAAGGCGACCTCAACCTACCTTAGGCAGAATCCAGAGAGAGTACCACATTAGCACACAGACAGGACGTTATGATGACTATGATTACATCAAGCTGAAATAATATTAAAGAACTAGAATAAAATAAAATATATTAAAATCAAAAAATCTAAGCTAGAACTAATGATATATACACACACAGTCACACACACACACATATAATCCAAGCTGAAAAAATGTTGATATCCAAAGAAATCCAACCATAACTATAGCATACTTCGAGTGTAGAAAGAGAGTTGGTAAATATTAATGGTAAACCAAAGAAACCCAACCGTTGTCTGATATTATAAAAGATAGGAGAGCTGATAAATATTGATTCAAGAAAGGAAGAGAATAAAAAAACTAGAAACAGAAATAAAGTACCTGCAGCCCGAAGTAGTTAACAAAACCATTCTTTCCGAGTGCAGCTGCAGAGGCTTTAATTATATCATCTGACTCTGCAATTACTCCCCTGCATACAGAGATGTACTTCAATTGAAAACATATATAAAATGTCATAGAATGTTAAAAAGTATTTGACCATACAATCCTCTTCATGCAAAACCAGATACACACACAAGCCCACACACTAACACATGTGTGACACACATGTAAGTGTGGTGTGTGTGTGTTTTAACTCAACACATAAGCAATAAAAACATATATTAATCATACACGCGTGTACGCATGTGTCTAATGTAGGGAAGTGTAAAGATTTCAAATATACATTGTATAAGATGTCATATAATGAAGAGAATAAAGCATTATTTTACATGCATATAGTACATTCTGAAGTTTGGATTCAGTTGTACCTCAATGTTATAGTGAATCGGTTCCCATAAAGCTGCCCAAGTAGAAGCCCCTCATTAGCATAACTGTCATTTCAATACCATATCTCACAGTTGCTCACATTTTATGGATATAAACATGAAAATAATATTGAAAATAATATTGATCTTACCAAAAGTCACCAACTTTGATTCCAATCAACTTTTCATTGAGAGCTGCCAATTTGTTTGCCCGTTGCTTGAAGACAGTCACCTGAATGGATGAAACGAAGTGTACAGACATGGATGTAGAGAACGAATAACCGCAGGGCTTTGATGTTAAAAAGGACTGATGATAATGTTAAAAAGAACTGTCAACCACTGTGCTCTTTCCTGTCCCACACATTGCATGCCTCAATAGGGGTTTGATCTCAGCCTTCTACCTTAGCACTCATCTTCTTCTTTAGTGATCCCACCTTAGAACACTTCATCTTCTTCAGTACTCTCACAACCTCCTCCTTACCGATACATTTAAAAAGATTGTAGCTATGTGGTAGTTATTCTCTTACTCCCTCTAGGACTAACTCTTTGCTGTCACTCTATAATGGCTTCATCCCTCACTAAAACCTACTCATCATCATCCTTAATGTACCTAATGGTACCTGATTGATTTAATAAAGATCTATGACTCCCAAGAAGACCCAATAGCTAAGAATATCTAATATTTAATTCACTCAATAACTACAAAGTACACCATACTTAATATTCTATAGTTTCATTCAAAGGGAACACTTGCTTTCACAAAGATTATAAAAGCAACAAAAGATAGGTTTTCAATTTTCAAAATTGCCTCATATTTTACTCCCTCCTTCCTGAAAAGGATTCAAAGTTCCCTTATTTGGATGTCCCAAGATAAACTTTGCACTTCTCCCATTTCTTTTAAAGAAAAAAACTATGTGGCTCAAGCATCTCTTGTAAATATATTTCAACCATACACTTTTTATTTTTAAACTTAATTTAAACCCTGTGAATTCGAAGTGTGATTGCTCTTTAAGGAGTAAAGGGAGAATTCTCGTTTTCAATATACATCATTCAAATCCTAATTAGTTGTTAAAATAGGTATCACATGTAAAATCATAAAAGGATAACCTGAGACATGCACAAAGCTATCAATGTTTTAAAAAGAGAGATTTGCTTTTATTGAGAGTTATGTATAAGGAGGTAAATCCCCTATGATTGCATCCAAGTTCTTTTAGGGTCTTCTAGACTTTCATCAGAATAGAAATGGATATCTGCAAATTGGGTCTTAATAAAGTGGATAAGTTTTTATCCTGCGTAAATTCTAGCTTTGATTCCCTCTTGATGGAGGATGGCCCCAATGCATATGCCAAAAACGTCGCACTCCACGACAAACAATATGGAGAAAGTGAGTAGTTGCAGCCATGGGGCCAAACTGCCATAGAGAGAGTATCTTTGAGAGCTTCCAAGGAGGATGTGGCACATGATGGAGACTGGTGAAAGGCATTCTTCCGCAATAGACTTGTTAGCGGAACTTGTAAGATGCTGTAATTTGAATAAATTAGTAGAAAGTACAAAGTAGAAACTAGAAACTGACAAGGCCAAGGAACCCATGTAACACCCTTTGAGTCTAGCTGTCAACAGTAAAGGTCACTGCTGTATGGCCAAAACTATGGTGTCAAGACTTCCACTATTGAAATTATGTGCCTTAGCTAGGCAATCCGCTGCTCGCCAAAAATACACTTTGATTGTTTCAAATAAATAGTATTGGGTGCAACAACTGAAAAACTAATCGCAAGTGTTATAGCACTTGTATTTGTGTAAACTAAGACAATGCCATAGAACACAAAGACAAACTTGGGTTTGAAACAACCAAAAATGCCGTTCATGAGAGCTTGAAAGGTGGATGGGTGTTGGCCAAATATTCAAAGTGGTCATAGTGCATTCAAAAAGATACGTTCCCACATCATTGGCATCCACACCTGGCGATATCCTAAACATGGGTCCAATTTAGTGAAGTATTTGGCCTCATGAAGCTCGTCTAAGAACTCGTCGATCATTTCGAACGGGATTGTCATTGGCAGTTTTAGAGCTAAGTTCGTGATAACCCACTCAGAACCACCAAGGGTCTTTGAGTTTGGAGACCAAAACAAACAGGAAAAGAGAAAGTTGATTTACTTGATCGTATGAGGTAGTTTGTTAGCATGTCCATGCATTGGTGCTCAATTTCATCTTTATGCAGGGCCGATGTTTAGGTTGAACCAAAATCAACTCGGCAACTGGAATGAGACATATGGGATAATTGTATGCTCTCGAATGGAGAAATGACGAGGGCTCTTCAAAATTATCACAAAATTAGAGTAGAAGGGCATTTGAGGCTCCCTCGTTAGTGTTTAGGGTTAGTGCACACATACGTCCACCGATTATTGTGGCTATATCCTCCAGCCCAATGATCTGTTCTCCATGGAGTCAAAGTTCTATGAGATGAGAATGGATCAATAAACATGTTTGACCCTCAAAATTTGGTTTACTCTTCTTTGTAACTAGGCTAACCATTGTCTTTTTTGCTTGAGCAGAGTGCATTCTGGAAATAATCTAGGTCGCACGGGTTTAGCTCTTTGGTGCCGCTTCGCGCTCCGGAAGCAACGGGGGGACGGAAACTAGCGAATCGAAAACGCCTTGGCTGAGATGGATTCAACGGCTTCTTCAAGCTGGACGGAATCGGGAAGTTGGGGGCATACCCGATAAGTATCGGGCTTAGATCCAACGAACCAGTGCCCATTTAATCATTTTTTTATGTTATTTATTTTTTTTACCATACTAGCCCACTAGCCCTAGCACCTAGGTATAGACGTAAAATATTTTTATAATAAATAATGTGAGGGGACCTAGGACTCTTCTATTGGCGATTGGCACCACCTGTCCACCACAGCACAGCTTCCGACGTGGTCGCCGTCCTTGCCTACACTGCTACACGAGTACACGACTATAGTTCTTCCTTGAGTTCCGTCTTCCACCAAATTTCTTTCTTTGACCCACTTTGATTCAATTAATTTTTTTATGGAGGAATTTTTCTTCAAATTATTTTGCTATGGATAATTGGCTCTGCAATTTACTCATTTAATTCTATATGTTGTCACTTTGGCTAATTTACCATCATTGTGTTTTTTTATTTCTAAACATAATGCTTTTGATAGTACAAGTATTTAGTTATTTAACATATTGTCATATCACATAAGACATTGAATTGTTTTATGCTAATTAATTATTATTCTTTACGTTGGCACTCCTATCATATTATCTGTGTTCTATTGTGCCCTATCATATTTTTTGGGCAGGTTGGAGCCGGGGGTCTCTTGGAAACAGCCTCCCTACTTCCGAGTAGGGGCAAGGTCTGCGTACACACACCCTCCCCAGACCCTACTGTAGTAGGATTCAACTGGGTTGTTGTTGTTGTATGTTGGCACTCCTATATTTAGTACTCCCTCCGTCCTGAAATGTTCTTCCCATGTTGATTTGGCACGCTTATTTAGGATTAGAAAAAAGAGTGTCAAACTTCTATGAATGCCCCAACTTTAATTTGGGAGTGAATTAATTTGGGTGGGTGGGTGTTAAAATGGAAGGGTGTTATTGATATTTGCCATTAAAAAGTAAGCTAAAAAGGAAGTTTGACCAGATGGGCCAAAAAGGAAAGTGAGAAGAACATTTCTGGACGGAGGGAGTGTTTTAATATTTTTTTGCTAGCGAATCCTTGTCGTTCCTGCATTGTGTAATTTTTAAAAAATGCCATTTTCCATCCCAGCCCCCCTAGATGTACTCACACCTATCCCAGTGCAACCTAGGAAAAAACATTTTTATTTTTTACCTTTGTAGGATGGGGTAAGGTCTGCGTACACCTACCCCACATACCCACTTGTTGGGATTTTACTTGGTTTGTTGTTCTATTGTAGAATTTTAAGTGTATGACCTTTGAAGGATATACCAATGATGAACATTAGTAGAGAGATTCTTATGAGCAGCGAGTACATCAATGTTTATACTGATTTTAAAGAAAAAAGAACCAAAATCTTACCCTTTGTGTTGAAACGGAACGTTTATCTTTTGTACCAGCAAATCCAAATGACCTAGGCTGACATGTGTAACATCATTCAACTTCACATCATAGAGTAATACATAACAGAAATAAAATAAATGCTAATCATATAAAGCCCTTACAAGATGTATGGCAAGGGATAATAAGGATGTAAGAAATTGTAAATTTTCTCTATTCTTTCTAAGTTCAGTACAGCCGCATAGGAAAAGATTGCATCCATAGCCCATATGTGGGGATAACAATCATGTCTTTTCAGCAGTAGGAGGATAAATCATAAGTAAATGCATTGTGTATACCTGAATGCCAAGCATCTTTGCAATAAGACCTAGAGCATCCTGTGTATCCTTGTTCTCCTTGTAAAGATGAAATCTGAGTATTGTTTTCAGGATTGCACTTAAGAAGACATCTTTTAAGAGTTAAAGTGCAACTTAATGCCAAAGACAGCTAAATAGAACCATCAAATTGCAGAGAAATGACAGAATGTTCAAATTTCATGAAACATGAAAAAAGCATCTAAGTGCATTAAGTCATTTCCTGCAAGGATTAAGACCAATAGTTGAATCCATTATAACAATCTAACCTACATTATTGTGGAATCAATAATTTAACTTTGACTGTACACTGATTGAATCAGATTCAGATGTAAACTTGTAATCTATTATCTATATAACTATAAAAAATGGGCCATTCTTCAAAGAAATCTGATAGCTCCTTTATAGTGTGCATGTCAAAAACTTATTAGAGATTCTTTGAAGTTATGTCCACACTCCACATGCCCCCATAAGATCACAATAATCAACTAAGATAGGCGTTGAAAATCATTTGACAAATTTAATAAAGACTAATACATGGACCATGGTAGGCTCATGAATGTAGAGATTATTATTTCACAACAATATACAGTGACTAAAAGAAAATTTAGGCAAGATACGCTTGGTGATGGTATGTCACAAAGAGTAATCCAAGGAGCATATGATTCATTCAACTTGGGGACGCATGAGTAAGAGTGCATATAACTTAGATTTTTCCATGTGAAATAGGAGAGTTAAGCATATAAAATCATAAGAGAACTTCACCTCAGAAACTTGCCAAGATCTTGTGGCCAATGATCTGAACCTCTACTATCATAGGGCTTTTCACCTCGATCTTTCCTTTTCCTGGAATTTTTACCCCTCCCGCTATTACCTCCAACATTTAACCTTACACGAATACACTTTGAGGAGTTATCGGGCCCATCAACAGTGTCTGTAACAAGAAATCTCATCTTTTCCTTGATAAAATTATGAATCTCCTGAAATGCAACCATGTATGTTGTCTAAAATGTGGACAAAGCCAAAAAAGATATAAACTAAATGACAGCTAGGTAGCTAATCAAAAGTTTGGAACTGACTGTCCGACGTGATTTATCAGAGCTCGGTGTAAGAAGTATGTGTTCATCACTGACATCGGCGCCTGAACTAATTTTGTCTATAAAACTTTTGAGCTTGTCAGAATCAGAATCACAGGTGGCAAGCGATCTGAAAGATTCTATCTCATTTGCATAGCTTCTGTCGAGTGGATTAGTAACCTTTACCTCCTTTTCTTCATGTACCTGGTAAGCATAGAGTTACAGCTTTTACTGTCAGGTGATTCACATTTGAGAGCCAGGTCATTCGTTTTTCATTATAGACAACAAAAAGATTGCTCCTGTGAAACCTTACCTCCTGGGGAGCATCTAATGAAGTTAAATGAACAACATTGCCTTCCAAATCCACTTCATTTACAATAAAGTCAGAATACCTGCAAAAAAAATTGACTGTTTCATTTCCGCTTACCCAAAAAATCCATTTACAAATGCGTGAAGAAGATGTGGAGTAAAATGGTATGAATCTATAAGGCAAGTGAAACTCTGCAAACAATATGGAAAACAATTTCCAGTTGGGGAATACTCCTTGTTAGACTGTCCATTTCCAGAAAGTATCCACGGACTTCTCTAATTCTTCCACTTACTCAACAGCACACAATTACACAGTAGTTGGAAAGAACAAAACACTTGAAGAATCACTTTTATCAAGCATAACAAATGTTCAAACACACACGGCACATGAATATCTGTGCATCAGATATCATTGCAGAGCTAAAGACCTTTGCTTGAGGATTCCGCGGAATCTGGGAAGCTGAGAAATGAAGCAAGATATGCCCACATCGGATTCCTCGATTGGATTCATCAGTTCTGCTGAAAACGATGCTTGTGAATAATACCAGTAGTACGGCTTTAGAGGCGTGAAAGAGGGAGACTTGAAAACCTTTCGCCCAAGGGTTTTAAAGTTTGAAAGAAGGGAAATAAATCCTGAGTGATTTGAGCTCTTCTTACCATAATGAGTAACTTCTAAAAATACAACAAAAAATCTTACACTCCTGTTATGAAATATGTGAATTTATCATTTATTCAATTAAATAGAGTCAAGTTCCAATAATCTCCATCATAAATTTATAATTATAGGAGCAAATTATTTATCATTATTATCAAGTTGTCATTTGTATAGTTCAATACTATTATTTTGTAATAGTTTTCCCAGTAAAGTTTTCCACTATAAATAGGAGCTTAAGATCCCTGCAAATACACTATTGAGAATCAAGATTAATATAGCTCAGAAATATATATTTCTCTATAAATAATCTCTAAGTATTTTTTTAATATGTTATCAGCATGAATTTGCTAATATCCCAAAAACTTTGTTCCTCTCGAAGATATGGAGTTAACTCATTAGGGCTCCCGTGGAAAAAAATAGTGTTTGATTGACAGTGACACAATGCACTGTTAGTCGATGTGTCCACGCCTTAAAGGAGGTGATTAAAGCGTTTAAAAAACTTTTTGTAGTTTAATAAAATTGGTGTTGGTAAACGCGGAAGTAATAAATAAAACGCAGAAGTAATAGCATAAAATAAAGTCATGCTTATTTTAGACTAATTCGGAGACTTCCTACTCCAGTACCTTAAGGCTCGTCCTTAAGAATTTCCGAATTCACTAAGTCCCGATCTCTTGAATTCCGTCAAAGCATCACACTAGTTTGGCAAACAACCCCAACCCCAAGATTTCACAACGGCTATCTCGAACCGCTTACAATAAAGATTTCACGGCTATCTTCAACCTTCCAATAATCTCCATCATAATTACAGGAGCAAATTGTATATCATTATCATCAAGTGATCATTTGTATAGTATATATATTATTTTATAAAAGTTTTTCCAGTAAGCTTCTACACTATAAATAAAGTCTTAGGATCCCTGCAAATACATCATTGAGAATCAAGATTAATATAGCTCAGAATATATATCTTTTCTATAAATAATCTCAGAGTATTTTCATATATGTTATTAGCATGAATTTGCTCATATTCCAAAAAAATTGCTCCTCTTGAAGATATGAAGTTAACTCCTTATGGCTTTAGTGGCAAAAAAATAATGTTCAATAGATAGTGTGGGCCACAACGCACACTATTTTGAAAAAGAAATAATACTTTTCTCAAGACATTAGTGAAAACTAATATCAATACAATTTTTAGTATTGCAAATCTCATTGAAGGATCTAGAATGGCCTGTTTAATACTTCTTCAAGAAACAAAATTAATTATCAAAGACGTATTACTTTCAATTCTAGCAAATCCCGGAGGAATTTATTAAGATTTAAAGATAAAGATGTGTGTTAGAATAGTTATCACATTGAAACAATGACAGAAAATAAAAAAATATTTATGTCAAACAATAACTTAATCTGGAAAATAAAATTGTTGTGAAAACATGCGAGCGTATTCCTCAAGACTATATTATACTCACATTAGTCCTTTGAAGTGAAAGTTATCTCTAATAAAAAATTAGATGACCAAAAAACATTCACTTTGGGGCATGACCCTTTGGGTCATTCTCGCAGTGTATTGATGCACAAAATAGTTCAAAATTCACTTGGACATCTATTTAAAAAAATATAAAGATTCCGAGAACAATTGATTTTTCATGTGTTGTATACTCCCTTGGAAAAATGATTGTCAGGCTACCTTTAAATAAAAATGAAGTTGAATCTCTTGCATTTTAGAAAGAATTCAACGACATATTTGTGAGCCAATTGCCCCATTATGTGAACCATTTTATTATTTTATGATATTGATCGATGCACAACACATTGGTCACATGTTAGTCTTTTATCCACTAGAAATTTTGCATTTGCAAAATTCATTGCTTAAATCATACATTTGATAGCTCAATTTTTAGACCACTCAATACAAAAAAATACAGTTTGATAATATTTAAGAATATACATTTCAATTATTTAATGACTCTTGCATGTTTATTGAAATTGATGTCAGGCACTCACTTGCTCATGTGCACACTCAAAAATTGTAATACCCTAATCCGTCCAGGTCTGCAGCCCCTTTCGGACTAAAGTATTAACTTAGTAACGTAAAAATTTCAAACATTTAAAAACTTTATTTCAAACAATTGTACAAAATATTTCATAATTACATCGGAGTAAAATTATTTAAAACAGTGCGGAAGCAATTTGTAAACTAAAATAGTATGATCAACCTATGCGATAAAATCATTTACTTAAATAGTATATTTGTTCATGTCCACGCATCACCTCCATCTCAGTATTCTCCAGAACAGGCTCCACATTTATTCTCTCTCATACCTACGTGTAGAAAAATGAAAAAGTCTACACGCTCAGCAATGAAGCTGAGTGGTACCATGGCACAACAAAAGAATTCAAAGAATAATTTTCTTAAACAATACCAATCATATATGTTCAAAACATTTCTTTTTCATATTTAAATTCGTCTTTGTTATTGTAACAAGGATAATGAACATAGTCTATTATTAAATATCATCATTCAAACTTATGTAGTAATCAGTCCAAAATTCACAATCATCACATGTCACTTTTGTTATCACAACATTCATCATTTGTTACACATAAATTCATATCAAAATTTATCACAATTTGCTCCTAACTTATTCTAAGTTAAGGCTAAATCATATCAATGCTCTTAAACTATTTTTTTAGTCTAAGTCAAATTAATATTGATAACATAGCTCTTAAACTATAACTAGTCTAAGACAATATTTCTAACCAGGCCCTTAAACTATAAATAGTTTAATGCAGAACACAAGAATCGATAATCCACCCAATGAGTCACGTGGATTACGTACCATACCGAACAGTGATCTGTCGGGTGGGTGATATCCGGTCTGGATCCCGTACGTACGTTTTAACCCCGAATCATGAATTGGTCAAGGAGGTATATCTTAGAGTTCTTCTAGATATCCTTAATAATCATAATCAATTTTCCAAATGGGTATATCTTAGAGTTCTTCTAGATATCCTTAACAATACACATCATTTTCATAATCATCAATATATTCATTTTTAAGCATGATTTAATCATTCATAATTATTATTTTAATAAGAATATTCATCAAAGTTTGATCATAAACAACATCAATAATAATCATCACAATATTCAATAACAAATAGCGACTTGGCATCGAGTGCTAATACCCTAGCTTATTGTCATATATCATAGAAGGTTCTTTAGTTGTCCAAACATCATCTTTTTTTACTCCAAAACAAATTGTCTTTGTATTGATGTATCAAAAATATGATTTTATATCTTCAAAAATAGCATTTTCGGACTTAAAATGTTCGTAACGGTCGGCTGTTGGATCCGCACGGTCATTTGCAAGAAAAATGGAGTTACTATTCATCATCTTACACCTTCGATCCAATTCGTCAAAACACCATAAAAGCTTCTAAGCTTTAAACTAACTTCATAAAAATGTTTTCTAACGTCCATAGATCACTCACAAACAATTTGTTTGAAGCTTTAACAACAAAACAATTTTGGTGGTTATAAATATCAAAATATTTATATTTTCAAATATATATGAATCAATAAGTTCAAGGATAATTCTAATGCCTTCTAAAGTTGTTTAAAATCATGGTACAGACCTGGAAATCAACGAGAAGAAGTTCAACGAACGAACGGGAGCGAAAACAACGCCGGAAATCTTAAAACTCGTCACTTCCGTCACTACTGTACCAGCCCTGGTTTTCGGGCCATATCTCCTTCGTTACTCAAAGAAATTGCGAACCGTTTGATGCTACGGATTTGTAAGACATAAGGCTACAACTTTCGTTTAGAAACCAGATTAAAATAACGAGTTTAGATGGGTCGAATAGCGCTTACAAAGGGAATGTTTTGCCCAGAATTTTCTTTTCACATTTTCGCCCAATTTCTTTGGTCGAGATCGTCATGAATGAACATCGAGACTTGATGGATGCCATATATGAATGAATGGGAGGTCGTTCTCTACATGACACCGTTGTCGCATGTTGATATCGTCTTCACACGGATTCCGGCAAAATTCCGGTCAACCTCGCAAGCTTCAAACATGGAGGATTTCTTTTCTCTTTCTTTTTTTTTAAAAAACCTTTTTCGTTGCCTTGGCTTACTTTTCATCCAAACTGGCAGGGGAGTTCTTTAATGGAAATGAAGATATATTCTAAGAGAGATAATTAGGACTAAAGTGAGAAAAGAGCTCATTCACATGGGGTAGAAAATAGAGATAAAGGTGGAGTGATATTTCTTTGTCTTTCTTTGCTTCTTGCTGCGCATGGAAGGCTCAAAGTGGAAGAGAAGACTACATAATAAATGTTTGCAAGTGGGGTCGTGAAGAAATAATATTAGGAGTATATTTTTTTTTGTTTATTTATGTAAATTGAATGAATGCTTATGAATAAAACTATTACACCTTTTGAGTGGGAAGGGTTGCGCCTAATGAGTAGATTTTAAGAGATACTGAGGCTATTAATTTGTTTCCATATCCAAATTGATAAACTAATTTCAAATGATACACACTTTTGTACCCAAACACCTCTTAATTAAAATCAATTACACCCTTGCAATCAGACAATCAAGCTTTACGCAATAATATAATTTTCACATATTTTTGAAATACTTTTTCTGACACCATATTTTTGGGTATTGACTTTGACAGAGTCAAAATTGAATTAATTATATTATTAAAATTACTTTCATAATCAATCAATATTATTAAATTTAAATATTTATTTCAATAAATCACTTTACAAAAGTTCACATCTTTGACTACTTCTCATTTTTATGCAAATTACATATTTAAAATGTCATACTGAAAATCTGTACATTAGATTTATTCATAAAATATACTGTTGGATTCGTCTCTTCGAGACCTATCCATAAAACTCAATTTTAACAAAAAATCATTGACT